AAAAAAAAAATTACAAACTAAAGTATCTACTAAAAGTTTTATTCTATATTTTTTTATATAATTTAGAAACTTTTCTTTCCTTAAAAGTAAAGTCCCAGTTAAAGTGGAACATACATTCTGCATTGTAAAAGAATTGTAAGTTGAGAAAAGCAAATTTTTTGCAAAATATTACGGATATATAAGATTGAAGTTAAAGCCTTGAATCGTTTAAAGTGAAATTCTATTTATATACAAAACTTGCATGGATACAAGAAATATTAAAATAATTATATAAAAATCATAACTTTTCTTTTCTAATTTTTGCTTCCAACATCTTGATTCTAATTTTAAAATAAAAAAAATAAAAAAATTTATTTTTAACTTTTATATCTTATTTTGTATATCTATTAAAAAAATATATAAGCTTCAAAAAATTTTAATAATCAAATGCAAGATAACTATTAAAACAGAATTAATACAACAAAGTTAAAAATGCACAAAGTTAAGTTGAAACAGAAAATAAATAAAAATGATTGAAAAATTAAAAGTTTAATAAATAATCTTCATTTATAAAAATTAATAGATTCGACCGCTGAACAAAGTTTTATTGAAATAAAATTTAACACCAAATTATTGGTAGAAAGATAATCATGTTCGAAGATAGAATTTAATTATAATTGATCTATCAATTATTGTAGTTCTAATCATAAACGAGTATGAGCTATTTAATTTGATACAAGCTTATTGCAAAATATTTCATGAGCAGGTTCTCCAAGTGTAACGAGTGTAGATAGGTTTAACTCGAGACTCGTTCTGCATTTAAACTCAATTTTCAATCGTAGAAACTAAGGCGTAACAGTTGTTAGCTATTGACGTCCGCACATTCTTATACATTAATTAAGAAATGAATCAAGCGCAAATTGAAAGAACAGCCAAATTTTACATTTCAATACAAGTATTTTGTTATTTATTTCTAGACTGTTGATTTTTATGCAAATTCATATTCTTGAGAATACAAATAGAAAAATAGAACCTCAATAATTACTTTACGTACTACATATAAACCATTACACTTTGAATATTCATTTTGTCTTCGTCTTTCATGCAACAGATTTTAAAAATTAAAGTTAAAATATCTTTACAAAACTGGTTTTTAAACATGGATTAATATCTTTTTTTATAGAGAATGTAATACTTTCAAACATTTTAAATATTTTTTTTATATCGTCAATAGTTCGGAATAGATCAATTTAAATGGGACATCCTATACAATTTTTCTTATTATCTGCAGTTTGTGAAATTTTATATTTTAAAATTTCTTATAGACGCATAAAAATTCATAGTATAATTACACGAAATTTGATTGTTTGATGACTACATCAATATAGTTAAACTATATTCTTCGTCCGATTTCGTTCGACGAATTAATTTTAATTTGTATTATGATTCTAATTACAACGAATTTAAAAATCAAATAAATTTGATTAAAATAAGTTTGATTAAAATATCTATTTTATTATTTTGATGATCTTTACGTAACATCTATCTTTGATTATATTTTATACGAATGAAATTTCGAATAAATATTTCTATTTGTCTAATTTATCGATTATTATTATCATAGCTGTTTATTAAAATCGATACATCAAAAGTACATACAGAGTTAATTATAG